AAACTTAAACATAGGTTATAGAACATCAAAGACGTGTCTCTCAGAGTAATTATCGACATATAGTGATTGGTCTTTCTCTCAACCCTTCTCTCTGATGCTGAAACTTGGACCATGTACCGCAAGCACAGAAATCAACTTGACGCCATTCATATGCGATGCCTTCGTGCCATATCGGATATAAAATGGGATGACAGGGTCAAGAATAATACTGAAGAAATGCAACAACAGCACAGGCATTGAAACCATTCTAGCAAAGATACAACTTAGGTGGGATGGTCATGTTGTGAGAATAGATGAAGATAGGCTTCCAAAAAAGGTGCTAAATGGACAACTACTAAACTCCAAGGGCTCAGTTGTACGTCCCCTGTTACGCTACGAAGATAAATTGGAAGACAGATTAAAACGTCAACTTTGATCTCTAAAGCCCAAGCAGAAAACCGAAAATAGTGGAGTAAGACATGTTTCATTGAGTTAAAGGGTCTTGAAGACAGTAGACTGAAGCACAGTGATGAGCTTCGTCAAGTTCTGAAGCAGAGACGCCATCAAAATCCTGCTTTAACAAATTTCATCTGTCGGTGATGCTTTTGTCATCCACACCAGGGCTGGGCTAATATCACATTTTAGAAAGCACAAATGATATATGACTTTCGCTTACTGGATTTTCTCAACAATGGCACCTGCTAGCTTGCATAAGGGTAAAACAGAAGGCACCATCCAATGCGACCCTCATTTATGGTTCATGATAGGCGAGTCCACCATATATATGTGTATGTGTGTATGTGTTTGTGCGTGTGTGTGCGTGTGTGTGTCTGATGAAAATATAGTTTTAACGTATGCTATATTTATGAGTTAAAGTACTTGATGTCATGCATAGAGCGTATATAAATATAAGATTGGACAAGGAGATCTATACCCAGCAGCGATAGTCTGTTTCATGCTTATCGCTTTGAGCCCTGACCACCGCTTTATCGGTGGTAGACAAAAATGACGTAATGCCCAGCAATCGGTTGAACTGTGGGTAAACACTTGTAACTTTATATATATATATATATATATATATATATATATATATATATATATATATACCGTGAAACATTATATACCAATTATTTCCGTATTTTCACTCAGGAGTTCAGGCAGAAGAGTTAAATATGTCCGTATCTCAGGGCTCAAAGGGTTAATTACAATCACCAGGTCATGACGATTGCGTTTAAGCAGGAAACAAACGAAACAGACTGTCGCTACTCAGTGTTGACCTCAATATCCACTTAAATCCATGTTTTTGAAGATGTACAGTACATATCCCATCCCATACCATAACAATCTAATCACATTTTAAACAGTATACATTAAAACAAAAAATCTTGAATATTTCTCGCTTGCTTTTTTACCAGATTTTGAAGTATGACACTTTGTGTCGTCACACCTGTTGAACATTCATGAACGTTCTCAAATTTAAAAGACTTGATATTCCAGTGTCATCTTCGTTTGTTATCTATCTATCTATCTATCTATCTCTCTCTCTCTCTCTCTCTCTCTATATATATATATATATATATATATATATATATATATATATATATATATATAAGCAAATGTAAATGGATATAGATCCGACAGAATGAAGAAAAATTTGGAAAAACAAACAAAAATCATTAAATGCAATTATGTTGTTTAAAATGAATGAAATGTCGACGTCTGACGTTTCGGTTTAATAAACCTTCTTCAGGACAATATTCATTAAAATACAATTCAGTTCAATTTGACAAAGACGATGGACATAAAAACAAGTCTTATCCAAAACAGATAACTGAAAATTTTTAAAATGAAGAAGGTTTATTAAACCGAAACGTCAGACGTCGACATTTCATTCATTTTAAACAACATAATTGCATTTAATGATTTTTGTTTGTTTTTTTCCAAATTTTTCTTCATATATATATATATATATATATATATATATATATATATATATATATATATTAACTGATTTAAAATATGTTTTCGCTACACAATTGATAACCATGTTTCAAAAATGGATGCTAAAAGTTTCAAATTTCATTTTGTAATTAAATTAAAACTATTAGTTCCATTACATCCCCAAGCGAATTTTGGAATAACTTTTTAAAAATTTACTGAGTTTTAAAGGCACAGAAAATTCATAATTCACTGTTTCCAAGGATACATAGAGATCCAGTCATTCAGACAAGGTGTGGTAGAGTGTTCATTTTTGTTAACTTTTGTTGTATCAGTTATTAGTTACGTTCGAAAAAGGGATTATGCTTAGGTAGGGTAGGGATGTATTATTCAACGAATTTTGACATCCGTTAAATGCATGTTGTCTGGGTTTTTTTTAAATTCTATTGTTAATGGCAAAACATTCTTACGGCATTTCTTCTATTTGTATACTTAAAGATTTTTTGGTGGGGATGTTTATGTTAGAATACGTTTTATTTAACTACAGTTTTAAAATATTTTCACTTTTAATTTTTAATAGACTATATTTCTTTTAAAACAAGTAAATGTACTAGAATTACTTACAGTATATAGAATTATTTTTCCCATATTAAGTATAAGTATATATATTACCAGGTCATATGTAAATTTACAGAGCATTAATATTATAAATTTAATATTATAAATTTATAAAATAAAATGTATAAAAATATCAATGAGAACACTGGATTATATATCTTATTGTTCTTTTATATATATATATATATATATATATATATATATATATATATATATATATATATATATATAGTTCAAATGTCCCTTAATGATCTGTTTTCTTAATCAAACCGGACTCATAAATAATTACATCGGTTACACAACTACATGCTTATCCAGACGTCTGATCACTGCTCCATTAGAACCCATTTAAACACACACACAAACTTACTAAACTCCATTAGAAATATACAAATAGAAAACAAATATATTAACTGCATCCACCTGTAAAAAACATTAAAAAATAATGGAAGCTTTAGTAATAAAAAAAGGAAAAGCCAACTCTTAACATTATTAACTACGAACAAGGCCACAATGTGCTAACCGTATTCTGAAATTAAAACATCCCTACTATACACTAAGACTTACATATAATGCATACACTCAATTAACATGGAAAACTGAATCATCCTTGATAATGGCTAAATGTATAGCCGAAAGCCCTCGGAACTATTAAATATTTGGACAGTTTTTACACTCTCTATGTCCAGAAAAGAAAGATATTGTTCGAACACAAGAAAAATTTAATAAAAAGCTTAACCGTAGTATCCTGTTTTTAATGAAATATGCATAAATGTAGGATTTCTGCCTAAATATGCAACTATATATATATATATATATATATATATATATATATATATATATATATATATATATATAAATATAATTTCTCTGTTGGAAATTAATTTCTCTCTTGGTAGTAAAAGATTTTATTATTTAATGCTGGCTGTTTCATTTGTATCCTAATTAAATGTGGAATGTTCTCTCATTCCTTGCAGTGAGTGCTGCATTTTTTTTGTCAGTATCCAGTAATATTGGCATCAGTATAAGTCAAATATTAATAGATAATATGGAAATTGCTATACAACGCTTTAAGACAATATCTTTAAGAGGATTATAAAATATTTAATATGAGTAAATGGGAATCTAAATTGACACAACTTTTCCTATTCACTGACATAGACATTAAAACTTAAGTGTGATTATATCCTCTATCTTATTTTTTGATTCAATCATTCTTTCTTTCTTTTTTTGCATTTCTTCATTTTTCTTTACATTGCTTCATTCATACTTTCGTTCTTTACGTTGTTTTATTCATTCTTTCTTTCTTTTCATTTTTTTATTCATTCATTATTTCTTTTTTTTTCATTCATCCTTTCTTTCTTTACATTGTTTCATTCATCCTTTCTTTTCATTTTTTATTAATTTTCTACTGATTAGTGAGTTCAATCCTCACTGTGTGGTCCATGCTTTTGGCCTACACCTTGAAAATCATTTGGGAACTTCGACGCGTCGTAATAGTTAGCAAATTTCCTTGCTACATCAATTTCAATGAGTTCGATCCTCATTGGGTGCTCCACACTTTCAACCGACTACGAACATCTAATCTATGCTTAGAAAATCGTTAAGGTCACCGAAAGTTGGTGTAATCGTTAACAAGCTTGCTTTACTACATCAATTATGTAAACAGGATTAACAAAAATTAAAAAGGTGTGGGCAAAATTAGGTCTTTACGTTATGCTACATCATTGATATTCTGAACGTCACCAATGACTTCCCACTGTTAAAGAATGTTCCTAGATTTCATTCCAATCGGTTTTCGTTTATTACGCATTTTTATGGAATTAAAACCTTGTGATTAACGAACACCAAGCCATAATTTTATTTCCCTGCGCAATATTTGTGTTTAGCAGATTCTCAAACCATTATTACGGACTAAATAAAAAGAATGAACGGTTAGTAGTGATTCCGCTTGATGAATCGAAGAAAGAAAGTCAAATTCCATTGCATTCACTTATGTGCTAATGTTCTTGGGAAAGGTATGAATCTATCTCTCCCCCATATATTCATTCATTTTTCTTTACATTGCTTCATTCATCCTTTCGTTCTTTTCATTGTTTCATTCATTTATTCTTTCTTTTCATTTTTTTATTCATCCTCTCTTTTCAATATTTCAGTCATCATTCTTAATCAACTCTGGGCAAATAGCAGCACAAACTGGGCCCTTGCTTAGAGAAGGAAAACCCTGAATTCAAACCTCTTCTGCCTCTTTACGCAAAAGCTCAAAGTTAACTTCAAAAACACAATCCACCTTGGATGTCGTCTAGAAGAAAGAAACTGACCTTCTACTTTGAGAATGTTGGACTACTCGATATTCGTACAATGGTTCGTACAAACGCAAGACAAGGGCAAAGCACGGCGCGGTGCGGTGCCACGGTGTTTTCTATTTTCAACCACTCGCCCATGGGTGTGTAACCTACCACACTTTATTCCGTGCCGGAACGAAAATACGAGTTGAAATCTTTTTGGTAGGTTGGGTTGGGATTGATTTTTAGCGTTGTCATTTGAAAGAAATGATAGGGATAACGAACAGAATCAGATAGATAGATAGATAGATAGATAGATAGATAGATAGATAGATAGATAGATAGATAGATAGAAATAAAGAGGTTGGTATAGATAGATAGATAGATAGATAGATAGATAGATAGATAGATGGGGACAGAATTGTATATGTACATGGATTTTAATAGAATTATGTAGATAGATAGATGAGATAGATAGATAGATAGATAGATAATAGATAGATAGATAGATAGAGAAAAGAATTGCATATGTACATGGAATTTAATAGAATTAGATAGATAGATAGATAGATAGATAGATAGATAGATAGATAGATAGATAGATAGAAAGAGGTTGGGATAGATAGATAGATAGATAGATAGATAGATAGATAGATAGATAGATAGATGGGGACATAATTCTATATGTTCATGGATTTTAATAGAATTATGTAGATAGATAGATAGATAGATAGATAGATAGATAGATAGATAGATAGATAGATAGATAGATAGATGAGAAAAGAATTGCATATGTACATGGATTTTAATAGAATTAGATAGATAGATAGATAGATAGATAGAAATAAAGAGGTTGGTATAAATAGATAGATAGATAGATAGATAGATAGATAGATAGATAGATAGATAGATAGATGGGGACATAATTCTATATGTTCATGGATTTTAATAGAATTATGTAGATAGATAGATAGAGAGATAGATAGATAGATGAGAAAAGAATTGCATATGTACATGGATTGTAATAGAATTAGATAGATAGATAGATAGATAGATAGAAATAAAGAGGTTAGTATAAATAGATAGTAATAGACTGAGATAGATAGATAGATAGATAGATAGATAGATAGATAGATAGATAGATAGATAGATAGATGGGGACATAATTCTATATGTTCATGGATTTTAATAGAATTATGTAGATAGATAGATAGATAGATAGATAGATGAGAAAAGAATTGCATATGTACATGGATTGTAATAGAATTAGATAGATAGATAGATAGATAGATAGATAGATAGATAGAAATAAAGAAGTTGGTACAAATAGATAGTAATAGATTGAAATAGATAGATAGATAGATAGATAGATAGATAGATAGATAGGCACGCCATGGCGCCGTGGAGTTTCTGATTTCGGACCATTCGCCCATGGGCGCATGACCAACCACACTTTATTCCATGCTGGAAAGAAAATCTGAGATGAAATCTTTTTGGCAGTTGGGTGTGTGATTGATTTTTCGTGTCGTCATTTGAGGCAAATGCCTTAGTGCATATCGTCGAATCGACAAGGCAAGTTCAGCTGTGAACTCACCCTGTTATGTAGCTATGCGTGTCACAAATTATCAACGACCTGCTTAACTTTTTCTCCATCTGGTTTGCCAAAAGCTATGGACACTGTCAATGTAAAACCTGTACTTAATATTTGCTTAATCTTTGCTTTTCTGACTTTTTACTTGGTTTTATTCATTTCTTTTTTGGATTTTTTTTTTTTGTTTTTTTTGGGAGAGGGCGGTTCGATTTAGCCTATGGTAGTATCCTTTTCGACACGCTGCGTCTGGATTAACACACAGGATTTAAGTTTTAGGAAGGAGAAGAGTTTTTTTTTTGTTTTTTTTTATAGACTTTAACAAAAATAATTATCACACCATAAGCAGATTTGTAAGTGGGGTGCCCTCTGAAGCACGACATTTAGGCGTTTGTTTTGAGTTGGATGAGTATTGATTTTCCTACAGTTTCAAATTATAAAAGTCATTTTTCATGTGAATAGTTGCCAAAATGCTGGACAAAGGCAGACGATGTACGGTATATTTTGGCAGAAACCCATACTAAAAGAGACCTTGCGTTGAAATTTGCACCTGCAAATAGTTACAAAATTGGCTTTAATTAAATTAAATTGGTAATTTTCTGAGAAGAAAAATATAGAATTACGTAGTGAAATTTATTTAGCAAATTTGACTTAATACATGATTGGGCGACATTCCCCTCACGTTTATTTGGTTTTCCTGATTGGTTTTATCGTCAGGTGTTATCGAGTATTTCAGACACACTAATAGAAATGCAGAAAAATCAACGCACAGAAGTTTTTTTTCCTATACAAAAAGATACACGAACCCACTAGCTCTGACATCCATACTCCGATCTTTTTAACTAACAAATATTTCATCAAAATAGTTTATTCCTATATTTGTTAGTGTTTTTATGAATCTTTTCTACAGTTACAGTTCATTACATTCATTTACCTACCTTTGGGGTGAATCAATCTCTTCCCAAGGTCTGGATTAAATAGAGATGAATTGCATTGGGAAAATTGTAGTTATTCTCAAAAGATTGTTAATTCCCCAATGAAAAAATATTCCTACAATCGAAAATATGTATTGGCTTTAAATAACCCACAAAAGTTTTGATAAAATGTAAATAAATCAACAAAACGATCAATATTTACATTATTCGAACTATTGTCCTCATCTTTGTCGCCATATTTATTACTTTATTACGACATTTCGGCCTTCTTCAGGTGGTTGGAATGTCAAACTGAACCCTTTATTTCTCTCGAGTACGACCCTCCATAGAGGAGAACATTACTAAAGGCTGTGTGTACGCTATCCCGTGCAGCTACGGAAAAAAATTTAAAGGTGAGACAGACCGCACCCTTCAGGTAGAGCTTCAAGAACACCAAAAAGCTGTAACTCGAGGGGAAGTAGAAAAATCAGGCGTGGCTGACCACATATGGAGAGCAAAGGGAGATCACCGGCCTTTGTGGGATCAGGTTGAGATCATAGACAAAGAACACCATTGGAAAATTTGTAAACTTAAGGAATCAGCACATATGCTAGGCCACAAAAATCTCCTGAGCTGACCAAACGTAGAAATGAATACAATATTGGAGAAAAGCAATGATAACAACAAAAATTTCAACATGAGCTCTGGTAAAACATGAATGATAACAGCAAAGAAAAATGGTTGCTGAAGACATTAGATTTATATTACCTACAAAGACACATGGCACAGTGGATAAAGGCGTTAATTAAATCCAGTGATAGGACCCAAGTTGTCTGATTTCAATACCCGTTTAAGGCAGTGGAGAACTTTCAGAGGGGAATTAACAGGAGATAACTGATAACTGGCATCCATTAAACATGGCACGTGGAACTAGAACAGTTTACCCCAGTGAGCGAAATAAAGGGTTAAATTCGACATTACAACCACCTGAAGAAAGCCAGAGCGTACAACGGCCGAAACGTTGTAATAAATATAGCGACAATGATAAGGACAATAGTCCGAATAATGTAATTAGTGTACATAATACATCATCTCAGATATATAGACAGATACTGAAAGGCTGAAACGTTGTAATAAATATGGCGACAAAGATGAGGACAATAGTCCGAATAATGTAAATAGTGTACATAATACATCATCTCAGAAATATAGACAGATACCAACTCGATCAATATATCAACCTGTACTATAATACGAAAAATATTTATAAAAATATGTTATTTTAACCCATTAACTGCCAATATTTTTTAATGCGCATATTTGTCCCAGACAGGTGCCTTGAGATTTTATTTTTTCCTTGTTTAATTTCAGTAGTTACCATTGTCGTTTTTATAGAAACTAGAACACCAAATATATATGTGTATAAAACATCAACAAATAATATAGATTAAAAATAATAAAAAAATACTTTTCAAAAAAATCATTATTTTTCTATTCGTGAATGTAAAATTACGACAGAAAGTGTCTTCTTACGGTTAATAATAAAAACTTTAAAGGCTATATGTGTTGTAAAATATACCTTTGCAAATGCAATGTATGTAAGCAATTCAATGTAAATACAAGTAATAACACGTAGTGAGTTTAATTTTAACAGATCCCCAAATGGGTCTCATGACAGGTAATGGTTTACAGTTTGGTGTGAGCACATCGACGTAATGTAATAGTTAACAAGCTTGTATCGAGACTGAGTAGTAAGTTCGATCCTTGCCACAATTTCGGCCATATTCCACATATTGGCTACGCTTAGAAAACCAGTTGAGTTCTTCGATGTGGTTAGGAATCTTGTCTTGCTAGATCAATAAATACTTAATAGTGAATTTGATACTAACTGGGTGCTTAACAGTTTCGGCCTTGTGCCACACGCTTAGTAAAGATTATTCGACGTGTTGTAATGGTTAGCGAGCTTTTCATGCCAATATCTAATGCATACAAATAACTGTAAATGAAAATTTGAAGATAAAATTTAAATAAATATCAAGTAACTTCTGAAGACTCCATATAACGGACACTTGAAGAATGTCGAAGAATGTATCAAGGGAAATGAAAGGGTTGTTAAAGTATACATCAGTTGAAGTGTTGTCTCAGCAATAGCAAACATAAGTAAAATATTTAATAGCAAATATAAAAAAATAAAAATGAACAAAAAAATATTTCGAATATTTTAATCCTTTGAGTCCTGGCCACCGCTTTACCGTTGGTAGAGAAAATGGCGTAATGACCAACCACCGGTTGAACGGTGGTAGAGTGTAAGGACGTAATGACCAGCAACTGGTCGAACAGTGGTAGAGAAAAATGACGTATTGACCAGCCACCGCTTTACCGGTGGTAGAGAAAATGACTTAATGACCACCCACTGGTTGAACAGTGGTAGAGTAAAAGGATGTAATGACCAACTAACGTTTAAACGGTGGTAGAGTAAAACGACGTAATGAACAACCACCGGCTGAACGAGGGTACAGAAAAAGGACGTAATAACCAGCCACCGCTTTACCGGTAGTAGAGCAAACGACGTAATGACCAGCGACTGGTTGAAAAGTGGTAGAGAAAAAGGACGTAAAGACCAGCCACCGGTCGAACAGTGGTGGAGAAAAAGCACGTAAAGACCAGCCACCGCTTTACCGGTAGTAGAGCAAATGACGTAATAACCAGCCAATGGTTGAATGGTGGGTAAAGACTTGTAACTATTTTTATATCTACCGTGAAAAATTACATACCAATTATTTGCGAATTTTGACTCAGGAGCTCAGGCAGATGGGTTAAAATTATTCAGGAACTCAAGGCTCAAAGTTTTAATACGTAAAACATAGGCAATGCATTTAATTTCCATTTAGTGAAAAAAGAATTAATTTCAAAATTCGGATCGAATAGGAATTCAGAAGAATATAAATCTTGCATAAATAAATGGAATAACCATTTCCAACTTTCCAGTCTTTATATTTTAAATATTAAATGGAAACCGGGTTTCAGCCGAGTGACTTGCGAATTGTGAATTTTTATGCGTGTGTTTAAATAATTCGCTTAGTGATTGCTAATACAGTTTTGACTGCGTCCAATGTACTTACATATACTGGTAACTCTGATGGCATGCACGCATCCACACGCCCCTCCTACATACACCTATACGGTAATCATTAAATTCGGGTGGAGTGTATTTGTTGAAATAATGCCAAAATTACAAGCTGATGAGAAAGCGACTTATTTATTAACTCCAATTGACTCTGCCCCGTGCTAATCTTGAAATGCTTAAATACGTATTATTAGCTACCATCCTGATTAAGCCTCTAACAGCTCCGCCACCTTTACCAGCTCTTCATCAATATCGACGTTATTACCATTACTTATCATTATTTTTAAGAATTGTTTCCTGTTCCTTCTAAGTAAAAAAAAAAATTATTATTATTATTATTATTATTATTTGTATCTCAACGGCTGCTGTGATGCATCTTGTGTGGTAGTCTCTTGTAAAATATACCTCTGCAAATACAATGTATGTAAGCAATTCAAGGAATGATATTTAGTGAGTTTAATTTTAACAGATCCCCATATGGAGCTCATGGCAGGTAATGGGTTAATATACAGTTTGGTGTGAGCACATCGATGTAATGTAATAGTCAGCAAGCTTGTCTCGATAGATCAATGACGACTGAGAAGTGAGTTCGATCCTTGCTGGGTGCCCCTCAATTTCGGACTTATTTCACATATAGGCTACGCTTAGAAAACTAGTTGAGTTCTTGGACGTGATTAGCAAACTTGTCTTGCTAGATCATTAACTACTGAATATTGAATCTGATCCTTACTGGGTGCTTGACACTTTTGGCCTTGCGCCACACGCTTAGTAAAGTTTCTTCGACGTGTTGTAATGGTTAGCGAG